AAAATCGTTGAAATTGGAGATTGCGTCAACACATTTCTACTCAGACAGTGAGATAACTTTAGCTTGGATCAGAGGAGATTCAAATAGATGGAAAACGTTTGTAGCAAATCGGGTATCAAGAATTCATGAACTAAGTGATAAAGAGCAGTGGCATTACATAGGCACCAAAGCAAATCCGGCAGATTTAGCATCGCGAGGAGTACTTCCGAATGAACTGCTTAATAATACAATGTGGTGGCATGGGCCATCGGTATTATTAAACGAAGAAAATATAAGTATAGAAGAAAGAAGCTTTGAAACAACATTGGAACAAAAAAAGCAAAAAACAGTTTCAATGTATGCAAACATCGATTACGTAGACAGATTCTCCGACTTGAATCGTGCTACACACACATTGGCGTACTGTAAAAGATTCATACAAAAGTTAAAGGCAAAGAGAAGAGCAGAAAAAAAATTGACGACAGAAGAAGCAACGGCAATAAGCAAAAAACAAGTACTAAGCGTAGAAGAAGTCGAAAATGCAAGACAAAGCATAATAAAAATGATTCAAATAAAGGCGTTTGAAAAGGAGATCGAAAATCTAAACAAAGGTATCGCATTACCGAAAAAAAGCAAATTGAAAGCACTGTATCCATTCATCGACAGAAATGGTCTGATACGAGTCGGCGGCAGACTGGAGAATTCAAAATTCAATTACAACAAAAAGCATCCAATCATAATTCCATACGGAACTCAATTAACAGAGATGATAATACGTGAAGCGCATATGAAAACAATGCACGGTGGCAACCAATTAACACTACATCAGATTCGGCATGAGTATTGGATATTACAAGCAAAACGAGCAGTTAAAACATTCATCAATAATTGCGTAACATGTCACCGCTTTAGAACACACAATTCACACCAACTCATGGGCAATTTACCATCAGCAAGAACTGAAATGGTAGAAAAACCATTTACACATACGGGCACAGATCTATGCGGTCCCATATCATTAAAAATGTCAGCATTAAGGGGCACAAAAACTCAAAAGGGTTATATTGTGATTTTCATTTGCATGTCTACTCGGGCCATTCATATCGAAATCGTAACAGAATTAACGGCACAAGCTTTTATAGCAGCATTCAAAAGGCTAATCGGTAGACGTGGTCACGTTGCGCATTTATATTGTGACAATGGCACCAATTTCGTTGGAGCCAATACAATTCTCCAGTTGGAAAGTGAAGAAGCGATAGAGGAATTTAACATCGAAATTCAACAAAATCTAACCATATTAAATACCAAATTTCATTTCAATCCGAGCATCAGCCCATGGATGGGAGGACTATGGGAAAGGGGAGTCGGTTCAATCAAGCACCACTTAAAAAGGACGGTTGGCGAGAGAATTCTAACCTATGAAGAATTATCAACAGTGCTCACGCAAATAGAGGCAATTCTCAACTCACGACCAATATCACCGATGACTGAAAATCCGGACGATCTAGAGGTGCTTACACCGGGACATTTCTTAATCGGCAGTGCCATGACCGCACAAATGGAACCGAATCTATTGAAAAACAACGAAAATCGATTGACACGATGGAATATTTGCACACGCATGAAACAATTATTCTGGGAAAAATGGTACAGTGAGTATATCACCCAGCTACAAACTAGATCGAAATGGAATGAACCACAAGAAAACCTAAAAATTGGCGATATGGTTTTATTAAAAGAAGAAAATACACCAGCTTTGCGCTGGCCTTTGGGTCGAGTAAAGGAGGTGTTTCCTGGAAAAGATGGCTTGGTACGAGTGGTGGCGGTGAGCGCAAAAAATAAAACATATAAGCGACCGATCGTAAAATTAGCCAAGTTGCCAGGGTTAGAGGTAAAAAACGATCCACCAAACAGCAAAAAAACAGAGAAAAAAAACACTGAAAATAATGAGCCGGAAAGCAAACAAAACAAAAAAATTGAAAGCCAAAAACCAAGATCTAAAAAGAAGGGAATAAAAAAACTGTTACAAAAATCAATAGTTTGTGCATTCGCTACGTTATTAGTATTTAGCGCAATGACATCCAGCGCAAATGCAACGATGCACACAGATCATTTTGAAAGCATCGAATTCACGAACAGTACATGTGTAGAATTCAAGCCATGCAACAACGGAGCACCGATTGGCGGCAAGTGGAATTTATTAACGTATTACGATATGAGGGAATATGACTCGAATATGGAAACGCTATTCAATAACATGGAAAGTATCAACAAGCAATGCAAAAATTACAACAACAGTTTGTGTGAAAACGCAGCGGATGAAATCAAAAAGAAATTAGGTGACATACAAACGATGGATATAATAATAAAAACAAAACAACAAAAACCAGAGAAACGCAACGCATTACTCGTTTCACTCGTCGGATCAGCAGCTGGATATTTTGGAGGCATGGTGTTGGATAAAATATTCAATAGCGGCAATGAAATAAACAAAGAAGAAGAAGAAAAAATAATCAAGAATCAAATTTCAGTTTTGCAGATCATGCATAATGAGGTGATGGAGCTAGACAAAGTGAATGCAGAAATGAAAAATTGGCAGTGGGCAACAACATACACCTTGCTCACAGCATTAGAATTTCATGAAAAACAAAAAACAATAGTAAAAATGCTAACAAATAACGGCAAATTGAACGCTCAATGGATCAGGCCAGACATATTGGCAACACACATAGAAAATATCAGAGACAATTTGCCAACCGGACTAGGAATGATAGGTACAAACAAACGTGACAATATATTAGCAATATACCAAGCAGCAAAAACAACAGCAACAATCACTTCCAAAGCAATATTAACAAGCATAGAAATTCCATTGATCGAACTGACCGAATATAAATGTGTAAAAGCGACACCGATTCCATTTTTTTACAGCAAATTATTTGTGCAACCAAAAATTGAATACGCATACATATGGTTCGACCAGAACAGTGTATACATGCTGACAGAAGCAGAAGAAGAGAAATGCATACAATTTGAAGAC